GGGGGGAGGTAGCGGGCAGTGGCCCACCAGGTGGGGGGAGAGGGCACAGTCCCTCCCGTGCTGTCTGTGGCCAGCTCTCCACCGGCCGCTGTGATGTGAGATCGGACCTCACCCCTGCTCTTTAGAAAGGAGCCGCCGTTGCGGGGACGCTACAGGCCCACAGAAGAGCGACTTCCCAGACAGGCTCATCGTTCACTGATACGCTCGGCCTGCTGGCGGCGTCACTGCCTCGGAGCCCGTGGGTGTCCGCTCGGCCTCGGGGCCGGGCTCTGTGGAGCAGCGCTGCCTATGGAGTGCGGGGATGCCCGGCGGCTGCTCGCTGGCACAAGGCTCAGGCTGTCCTGCCACCACCCTGCACGGCCTTGTCCCGATCTGGAACTGGCTTGGGGCAGCCCAGGGCCTTGCTCAGTGCGGGTGGGGTCTGGGCGCCCAGGGCCACGAGGCTGTCTGCACACCATATCCATCCAGCCGGTTTCAGGACATTCCTGGAAGGGCAGCGGTGACGGACATGCTAGTGAGCTGTGCCACTCGTCCGATGTGAGTGCTGTAAAGCCCGTGTGTGTGAGCCATCCTGAGTGGCACAACTTCCTCCCTGGCTCCAAGACGCGCTGCCCTAGAGAAAGCCAGAAAGAGGGCCACACACTTCCCGTGAGAGACAGGAGGGGCTGGGCCTGCTCCAGGGGCTCCGAGGGGTGGGGACATGGGGACTCTCACCTTGTGAAATGGGGTAGGGCTCCACTGGGCGTCAGCCAGGAGGCTCAGTCGGGCACGAGGGTGGGCTGAAGACACTGAGGCGAAGCCCACTCATCCGCCCGCCGCCAGCTCGCTGAGTGTCCCTGCACGCTGTCAAACGTGGGTGCTGACTCCGTGGGGAGAGGGCGGCTGGAAGCTCCAAGCCTGGAACTCCCCGGGGCGCTGCCCTGTGCGTCTGTCCCCTGGCCGATTTTAATCTGTACCCTTCCACCGTTCTAAACTGGAACCCTGAGTGTAGCAGCCTTCTAGAAAATTATCAAACCTAAGAATGGTTTGGGGTCCCCCAGACTTGCAGCTGGTGTTAGAGGTGAGGATGGTCTTGTAACCTGCCCCTAACTTGGCAGGAACACACCCGGGTCAGCGTGCACATGTGTACACACTCCTATCTCCTCGACCTGTCAGTGGAGAGCACCCAAAAACGCCTCCTTGCCTGTAGCCCCAGCACACCAGCACCCACATCGTGGTTGCTTACACCGCTTCCAACGCAAGGAGCCCAATCTCCCTGGAGAAACACTGAGCCCAGGACGCAGGAAATACCCACGATGAGCCCCGAGCACCTGGCACTGCCAGCGAGGAAGGAAGTGCTCCAAACCAAAATGTGGCACCCACACCAAGGGTGTGTCGGAGCCAGGAGCTAATGGAACGGCCCCCAGTGGCCAGAGCTGGAGCAGGTCCAACTTCAGGAAGTCGTGTTGGATTCCAGCCCTGAGTCTAAAATCAACGTCCACGTGTCACACAGACATGAATAACCAACTGACGAGTCAGTGGGGAGAGGAAACTCCGTGCAGATGCTCCGCGTGCCTTCTGTGGCTGCCCCGTCCTCTGGAAGGGGCACGCCGTCCCCTTAGGTGTGGGCTGTGCACGGTGACCTCCGGCCACAGAGGACAGAGAAGGGAAGAGTGGTGTGGAGTGGGGGAGCCGGACAGACACACCTCCGCCGGGGGCCACGGTCAGCACCAAGGACAGTCATGTGATGAGATGGACCCTTGATGTGTGACGAGACAGCACCTGACCTCTGTGGTCCCCTCCCGACAGCCCGTGTCCCCAGTCCAATCACGAGAAGTCACCGTGCTGACCCCAACTGAGAAGCATCCTCCAAAATGCCTGACCAGCCCACCTCACCACGGTCAAGGTCACCAAGGTCTTCAAGAAAAGTCTGAGAAACCGTCACAGCCCAGAGGAGCCCTGAGGGGACGAGGTGACCAAATGTCATGTGGTGTCCTGGATGGGATCCTGACAGGACAAGGGCAGTGAGTAAAACCTGAGGACATCTGCGTACACTAGGAGCTTCAGTCAATTCTCACTCACGTGTGTCACTCGCGTGTCAGTACTGGGCCCTTGGCTATGACAAAGGCACCACAGTAACGGGAGGTGTGACTTGGGGAGACTGGGTGTGAGGCCCATGGGGACTCACGGTGCTGTCTCCGCCACTTTTCTGTGATTCTGTAACTGTTCTAAAAGAACCTTTAATCAAACCAACAGCTCCCCAGTGCCGATGCACTGAGTGGGGACGGTGACCCTGTTGGACGGGGGCTCCGTGGCTGAGGGCCAGCTGGGAACCTCCCCAAGCCAGAGCATCCGGCTGAGCCCCAACAAGCTCAGCAGCTGGGCGGCCATCTCCCCGCGGGCCCCAGCACGTTCTCAGAGGAGGAACCGGAAGCGGGAAGGACACCTGACCAGGGTCACATTTTTGTTCCAGAACTGGATGGAAGCCGCATCTCAGGCTCAGCTCCAGTGACTCCCCGCCCCCAACATGGCCCCAATGTCCTGGGTGTCCCCACCCCAGGAGCTGGCCTGGGACCATCTGGCTTTGCAGTGGTGGCCTGAGCAAGTCCCCACCACCCCCGGCTGTGAAAGGGTGGGGCCCAGACCACCTCTCCTCGGAGGGAAAGCCAGTGGGAGAGAACCGTTTTAAAGGGCAGGACGGGCCACAGCCAGACAGCAAGGTCCCCGCGTCCGTCCCAAGCCCCTGCCGACCCGCTGCCTCCTGAGGCCAGGCCAGGCTTCTTACAGTACCACGTCACAGGGCGGAAAGAGCCCCGAAGAATGTGTGATTCTGCAAGGGAGGCAGCAGGGCCAGGAGGGGACAGTGCCCAGTGGTGGCGCTGGGAGGAGCCACCATTTGGCAACGCCCTCACGGCAGGCTGGCAGGCTGGCACCTGGCACCTCCGTGCCGGCCAGGCCATTCGCCGGGTAGGCCCAGGCCCTCGCCTCCTGGAGAGCCACCGCCTGCTCCCCTGTGGCTCAGGCCAGGGAGCCTGGGTCTGTCCCGTGTCAGGACCAGCGGAAGCGCTCGCTGGCACTGGCCCGCCCGCCCCTCCTCCGCTCTGGACACAGGCTGTGGCTGCAGCGCCGAGGCCGTCAGAGCCCTGCTGCTCTCTAGGCAGCTGACGACGGACACTCACCTTCTGGCATGTGGCCGCCGGGTGCCGGCCTCCAGCTCCAGCAGCTCAGGGAGGGCGTCCCACAGGGGCTGCAGGTCCCCCACCACCACGGTGGCCCGCCGCCTCCGCTCTGCCTGGCGCTTCTGCTCGGCCAGCTTTATGGCTTCGATTTCTGAGGAAGGGGTACAGGGGTTAGGGGGCGGCCTCGTGAGCAGGGAGGCCAGCCGCTCTTCTCTGTCCTGCTGACACCTTCAAACCGCCTGGAACCCAGGAGGCGGGTTGGCTCCAAGCTGTTTTCTCCCTGATCATAAAGGCGGCTTTTTAATTACAGGCTTGATGATGAGACTGGAGCCGCAGGCGCGGCGGGCTTGTCACTGGAGCACCGTGGCCTGAGCACGTGGGGGGTGGGGGCAGCCGCAGTCACAGAGGTTGGTGAGCGCCTCACAGTCTCCACTGGGAGAGTCCCCGCAGGAGGAGGTGACAGTGCAGGAAGCGGGCGGGCGCAGGGTTCCTAACCCTGAGCTGGGTCACAGAGGCTGAGCTGGGGGTGTCAGAGGCGGCGTCCACAGAGCAGCTGGGAAGGCAGCCGGGGATGGGAGAGGCCTGGACGAGCCAGAGGGGGAGGTGGTGGCTGGGGCAGCGGCCTGTGCCCTGGAGAAGGGGTTCAGGCAGAGCCTGGACAGGGCACAGCTTATGATTTGATTTCAATTTTAAGAGATTTATTTCAAAATTGCTAATAAAACACGTACTTGAATGCATAACTTGCACAGTGGGGCTCGTGGAAAATGCCGGCTCGTGGTTTGTATGTGGACCTCGGACACAGGCCCTCCCTCCACCAGGGAGCCACGGGGCCAGGCAAGGGGCTCAAACACCGCCAGGGGCGATGCCACAGGCGGCCGACCAGACCCAGGCATGGCCGGAGGCTGCTGCACCAACTGAACTGCGCTCACGGTTAACTTGCTCTGCGTCACGTTCCTTTACATAAAAAGGCTTAGTACCAAAACTGCTCCGAAATGAGGTCAGTGACGGACGTGGGGCGAGACCTGAGCTGAGCGCCCATCTCGCCCCCGGAACCCTGCGCGGTCTGTTGGGCTATAAATAACGGGGTGCAGACTCTGAATCACATCTAAACAGGGAACTAAAGTCGCCTTCCTGACAAACGGCCGGGGAGACTCACAGCCAGCCCCTCCTAGAGAGGCCGATGCCCACGAGGGGCCGATGGGCAGTCTCTTGTGCGGGGTGGTGCCTCCGTGGCCAGGCCCTTGAGAGCGCCGTGGACGTCCGTCAGCCCCGCAGGGCGGGGGCAGGAAGTGATGCCGGCAGGACACCCAGAAGGGCTGGCCGAGAGGAACCGGGGTCCTGGATGGGAAGCCCCACGCGTGAGACAGACTCAGGACAGCCCCCGATTGATGCGGCGAGTGTGCGTGCGGGCGGCCTGGGGCCCTAGCAAGTATGTGAAAGGTGAAAGCAAGTGGGGACCTTGACAAGCACTTTCAGAAGAGGAGATTTCCAGAAACTGACACTATTCATCATCCACCAGGGAGAAGCGCCTGGCGGGCTTCCCAGAGGCCAGCGAGGGCCAGCTCCTCCCTCTCCCAGCCCGCAGCCGGGGCGGCGCAGCCCAGAGCAAGCTCTGAAAGGCCCACCCTGACCGAGCCCACGGCAGGGACACACGCCTGGTCCCCGCCACGGTCCCGGCTAGGAGCAGCCTGGAGGGCCCTGTGGAGCAAGGTTGTTCACCTGGCCCCAAAGAGCTGAGTCTCGGGGACGGACCACCCTTCCTCCCGAGTCCCATGCCATCCCTCAGAGCCCAAGGGTTATCAGGGTTTGTAAGGTGACAAATCGGGACTTTCCAACCTGCCAAGGTGGGGGTAAATTTGCTCAGCACCTCATCACACCCATGCGCCTCTTCCTAGAGAATTCAAGTACCCTGGATGGGCAGGCAGCCTAGGCCGGGGGCCTGGGCTAGGGGCCTTGGGCGGGGGGCCTGGGCTGGGGGCCTTGGGCCAGGAGCCTTGGGCGGGGGGCAGAACTGGGAGTAGTGCGCTCCAACGTCACAGCGCCTTCACAGACTAGGCTGGCAGACCTGGTACCACTGCCACATGGGACCAAGGACAGCAAGGCAGAGGCCCATGGCCCCCAAGGAAGAGCAGCAAACACTAAACAAGTCAAAGCCAGAGCATTTTAAACTAACACGTGCTGTGCAACAGGGAGTGTCCAAGGCATGCAAGGACGGTTCACGCGGGGATGTCTGCCAGGCGGCTCGCTGCAGTGGCCACTTCAGGGGGAAAGCCCACAGTCACCAGGAGAAGTGCCAGGAAGAACCCGACCGAACTCAGTCTACTCGCGATAAAAACGAACAGCAGGAACGTCCCCGATCTGACACAGATGACCAACCAGAAACCTGTAGACTGTCACACGTGTGCTGAAACACCAGCCACACTCCGTTAAGAGGAAAAACGGGAAAGAACTACGGCCCATGTTGTCACAGCCAGCGGCTCAGCGCCCAGGGAGGGGGTGGTGGGACAGCAGGCCTCCACCCGGGGACAACCAGCTGTCTTGACAGCCCACCGGAGCCAGCTCGGCCTCCCCCACCCACAAGCGTGACGTGACGCAGCCTCAGTCAAACCTCAACAGGGCTTTTCACCAAACCCTCAGGGCTGTTCCAAATCTTATTTTTAAGACAAAATGCATAAGAATAGCCAAAACATTTTTTGGAAAAAAACAAGCAACAAGAGAGTTGGCCTACTGGATATTAAAAGCAAACTATGAAAGACAGAAATGCAAACAGAGCCACGTGCGAGGGGGCCTCGCGGGAGGCAAGGGCTGGAAGAGGCACCTTAAACCGACTGACCGGCCCACCTGGGAGAAGGGTGGACCCCTCCCTCAGCTAGTCCTGAAAATTAATCACCCCAGAATTACACGTGACAAGTCAAACATAAAGAGGAACCAAAGACCAAAAAACACGGGGAGAGCGGCTCAGCTCCACTGCAAATCAAGGACAAGGACAACGCTGGGTGCCATTTGTCACCTGTCAGACCGGCAGGTACCAAGTGCGAGCAGTCTGGGGACCGCAGGGGGGCGAGTGGCAGACACCTGGGTGAAGGCAGCCAGGTGGGGCGGTGCTGGACCCGCCGGGGTGCGCCATCTGTCTGGTGGCGTCTGATGGACCTGCCTCCCGCTCTGGGTGTTAGGGACACGTGTGACCGACAGTGGGGGAGGTCGCAGGGGCTGCGTGTGTGCAAGGGCGTGTGGAGGCCGCACCGCGGGAAAGGCCCACCGAGTGCGCGTGCACCAGTGAAGAGAAAGGGCTGCCCGTTTAATGTCGCCCCACCAGCCAGTGCTCCCCCGGAGCAGAAAGCCAGATGGGAGTCTGCTAGTGAGTGTCTGTGTGATAACTTATTATTTATTTGCAATTAAAACATTACTCTGTCCTCAGAGCTGGATCCCAGCCCGGCGGGTGGGATGCCGACAATGGCAGGAACACGGCATTTAAGGGGTCACTTCCGTGCCACTGGGCTTGGCCCAGGGGCACTGTCAGTGCCCTCTCCAGCCCCCGCTCCTCCCCCCTCTGCCCTGTGCCCCACAGAGCTCACGCCCTCCCCCTCTAGCCAGAGGCAGCAGCGGAGGGAGGAAGCGGGGAGAGCTCGGGCACTGACCACCCCAGCCGCCACCCTCCTGGCTGTCCTGAGGCCCAGACCCTGCCAAACCCTCTTCTGGGAGGGGGACCCCTCCCTTTGCCCCTGCAGGCTGGGCACCGCCACTGGCCCCCTCCACGCCTCTGGGCTTAATCTGGGCTTAGTCCCTTCATTAACTTCTCTCCAGGAAACCCAACTGAAGTGCTGGGACTGGACGGACCCACACGCTGCCGTTTGTCCCACAAAGAGCAGGTTTTCATGGCCAGCCCTCTAGTGAGCAAACGGGGACAAGAAAAAGTCCCTCTATTAACTCTGGTCTCGAGCAGTAAGTTTGAAGCAATGACAATGGGGGGCATCTCCAGGGGCCTGGCTGGGGGCTCCTTTACCCTAAGTGGTTTAATTTAAAACTAGCTTGAGGTACAACCAGAGAGCATTTCCAATCAAATCAGGGCACCAAAACCAACCACTGGCTATGCGGCATGCGGGACACATTTGTGGGCTGAAGTCTACCTGTCTGTATGGGGCCCAGGAGGGCTGGTGCCAGCACCCTGAAAGCCCACCCAGGTCCCTTAACAATGCAGAAGACAGGCAACCAGAGCAGCGTCCCTGTCACTGCCCTCACTTCCCAGCCTGTGTCTGCTAATCTACAAACAACTGAAGGCGAGCTCATTGTCAGCAGGGCCTATGCATGAGGCCCAACTTGTGTGATGCACCACTGTGGCCTGGGTCCCCTCCTGAACAAAGCGGGCTCGCAGGACACAAGCATCGCCCCACCCTTGGTCCCCAAGACCAGGAACAATGCTCACGTCTTCTCTCAACTCTGCACCCAAGGCCGGAGCCACTGCGGAAAGATGAGAAGACTTGAAAACGTGTTTGGGCAGAAGATATAAAACTGTCTCTATTTTAAGTGGTGTGAGAATTTATGTAAAAAATTCTAAGGAAGCTACAGAATAACTGCCAGAACTAATATACAATTTCAGCAAGGTCAGAGATACAAAATTAGTATTAAAAAAAATTATATTCTAGCGAAAAACTGGAAAATGAAGCTTTTGAGGATTCCACTTGTAATAGCTTAAAAACTTTAAAACAGTAAGTAATGAGCTTATTGAAAAAAAACCATGTCAGACTCTACCTACACAATGGACAGCAGAAACTAAGGACAATCTAAATGACTGGAGAAATGCACCACGTCCACGGACTTGAAGAGTCAACACTGTTAAAATGGCAATTCTCCCAAAATAGATCCACAGATTTATAGCAATCCCAACCATCAACCCAACTAGGTTTTTGGTGGTGGTGGTGGTGGTGGTGGTGGTGGTGGTAGTGGCATTTAAGAAATTGACAGTCCAATGGTAAATTTTATACGGACCTGGACTATCTGAAGCAATCTTAAAACAGAAGAACTAAGACACAGGACTTGCATTGTCAGAGCCAAGATTCACTGAAGCGACCGCCAAGCAGACTGCCCGGCACTTGCTGAGGTTCAACAAGCAGGGGAGGCCATGTGATTTGGCAATGGAATGAGGAAACAAGCCTTCGTAAGAATGCTGGAACAACTGAATATCCACACTGAAAAAAACCCCCAAAGAACCTTAACCAGTACCTCACGCCACAAACAGCAATTCAAGAGGGATCAGAAACTCAAAAATAAAAGCCAAAACTATAGTTTTTGGAAGATGATGATGGCATCTTCATAAGTTGGGACTGGCCAAAGATCTCTTAAAAAGACACACACACACATATACACTTAAAAAAAAGATAAATTAGACTCCTCAACATTTAACATCTAGTCATCCAAAAAAATAATAAATCATTAAGAAAATGGACAGGCAAATCACCACCTAGGAGAAAATCACCTGCAACACAAACCTGCCCAAGGACTGGGGTGCAGGGCGAGACTTCTTAGAGCTCAGGGACGAGAAGCGGAAGGGCCTCTTGGCAAACAGTGCAGTCAGAGGGTGCACGAAAGGGCAGTGGTGTGAGGACGGCGGGCCGTGGCAGCGAGCATCAGTCCTACAGCGCCACCCCACACGCCATAAAGCCGGGCTGCGGCCAGAGCTCCCCACGTCAGCGTGGGGTTCAAATGTACAACCACGTTAGAGAAACGTCTGGTAGCTGCTTGTAAAACTAAACATACAACTACCCTATGACCCAACGTTCCATTCCCAAGTATTTACCCAAGAGAAAGGAAAACATACGTCCACAAAAAGACTTGTAAAGAATGTTCACAGCAGCCTTAGTCAGAGCAGCTAAAAGAGAAAAGGCCAGGTGTCCGTCAGCAAGGAAGTGGGCACCACACGCTATGTCCATATAAAGAAGGCTTCTCAGCACCACAAGGGCACGCCACGGCCCCAGGCAGCGCGACGGGTTCCAAAAACACAGGCAAGCACGTCCTATGTGGCTGCATTCCCACGACATCCAGAGCAGTGAGCCTCAACGGTGACCCACAAAGACCAGACAGTGGCTACCTCTGGGCAGTCACGGGGATTTCTGGGGACAGTGAGGTTCTGTATCTTTTTTTTTTTTTTAGCTGAGCCATCCTTCCACCTGTTGGCAGCTCAGCGGCTGCTTAACTCAGGCCGGGAATCGAACTGCTGTTGCTCAGAGCTCGCACTCTTGAGCGAGCTCTTAACCAACTGAGCCACTCGGCAGGCCCTAGAGTTCTGTATCTTGAAAGGGATTTTGGTTGCACAGGTGTATGCATTTGTCACACTTAAGATTTGCACTTCATTGCATGTAAATTTTACCCCAAAATAAAAATGAAAAGAACCATTAACAAATAATGAACCCTAGCAGAACTCTTTGTGAGAAGGTGTACACTGATGCCTGCAACTTACTCTGGAGACAACACATGGGTTGGTGGGTGGCTAGAAAGATGGGACAGGCAGGTGAACAGTGTGTGACAAGAAAGTGTTCATTGTCACACCTAGGCGGTGGGGATAAGGGTCACTGTGAAGCCCCTACTTTCCTGCACAAAATTTTTCATAAAATATTAAGTAAAATCAACTTGGGAGAAGGTAGCTAAAGGTATATTCAGAGGATGATTCAGCCCTTCACGCCTAAACACAATATATAAAAATAAACAGCTAAGTAACTGAAACAAACCTAAAGAAAGCAAGAACAAGGTAGTAAAATAACAGAAACTAATAATTTTAGAAAAGAAAACAATAGAATTGACAAGTAAATACAAGAATTCGTTCTTGAAACGGAAGAAACAAAAACAAATACGAAATTAAAGAAGGTGGATGCCAGTAAAGAATGATAAACAGGAGATTTAATAAGGCGAGACCAGCAGCCCTTTCCTGAAAAGGTTGAGATTTAATTAGATTAGGTGATTTTATGAGAAAATATGTGCGGCCAAGGCTGACTTCAGTAGTAAAAAAAAGACCAACCAGCATGGAAGAAAACTTACAGGTCACTGAAGAACTGTAGCCCACTCTACAAAGACTATCTGCACAAGTCCATGGCAGCACTGCGACAACGGAAATGAGGGGTGAATCACTTCCTTAAGAAATATTCAAAATGTGACAAAAAAGTAATCATAGAAGAAATTAACAAATTAAAAACGTGTATTTTCTTTAAAGCCTTTAAGGAAAAAATAATGCAGATCATACTTTAACCGTGTGAAAACATAAACAAGAAAGCACAGTCGTCCCTCGGTACCTGCGGGGCACGGCTCCAGGGCCCGCAGAGAGGACCCAAGTCCGCAGATGCTCACATCCTTCTATAAAAAGGGGCGGTGCTGGCAAGTAACCCACGTGCACCCTCCCAGGTACTTGAAATCACCTTCCAGGTTATAGGTAACACCTGATGCGCAATACACACTGTATCAGTAGTTGTTACCCTGGGCTGTTCAGGGCAGAACGGCACACTCGGTCAACGGTGGACTGAATACACCACAGTGGTCCCCTACGATGATGACGACAACCACACACGGTGGTCCCCTACGATGATGATGGAGCAGAAAGAGTCCCATTGCCTGGTGACGCTGTAGCACCACATAAACCTACTGCGCTGCCAGTCGTATGACAGCACGGCACATACTCTGTGGGTTCACAGGTGACATGTCGCTGGTTTACGCAGTCACTCCACTACGCTTGTCATTGTTTTAGGCTGTCCTCTTTCTACTTTACTCTAAAGTCTGGGACACAGGGGCCACGTCACATGGCCTCAGCCTCATCCATCTCAGGTTTCCAGCTCTGTGCCTGACTGGACCTGGTTTTGCGCGCCAGCGTGCCCTGCGGCCCAGGGCAGCACAGGCTGTCCCACCCAGCGTGCTCGGTGCCTATGACGCCCTCCCTAAGGATGCCATCCCTAAGGACAGAGCATGTCCCATCCGTAAGTGGCACGTGACTGTATTTTCCATCGAGGTTGCTGACCTCAGATGTGGAACAGATACAGAGGGCCAACTGTATTCCAAGTTAATTTAAAAAGTCAGCAGTATCATACTAAAAACATAACAGTAAAAAAAAAAATCTTCACAAGAAAATCTTTAGAAAAACATTAGCAAACATTCATGAAAAGTAACTGTTTTCCAAAAGAAAACCAGTGGGCGTGGCCCGGGCCTACTGTGAGGTGTGGCTGGCAGCACAGGGCAAACCCACCCTCACAGGGGTGCGGGGAGAAGGCTGCAACCTCACAGGCCCCGCGTCGTCGCACACACGGCGCTGTTGTCCAGACCTGTGTGGGGACACCCACCCTTCACATAGCTCCGTGTCCCTAAGTGCTCACAACCAGCACGTGGCACTTGTAACTACCAATTCATCATGGGGTCCAAAACAATCGTTTTACACACAAGGAGCTGAGTGGGTGGCTTCTTGAGACCATTTTCTTAGGGAAGAGTCAGTCAGGGCTTTGCAGAAGCTCATACAGGGTGACAAGGCCACCCCCTCCAGGGCCATCTGCTGGTCACATCGCAGGCCATCTCTGGCATGCTGCCAGGTCCTCCACAGGCCCAGACCACCCACCAGCCACTGCGGCGGCTTCGGAAAGGGGCTCCCCAGGCCCTGACAAGGAGAGGGTTGGATGGGACCCCAGAAGGAAGCCTGTGCCACCCTGGCGCCGGCTGAGCCGGCCCCCACACAGGACACAGGGAGGCACTCACTCTGCAGCCACCTCTCGCGTCTCAGCTTCCGTTTCTCCTTCTTGGGCAAAACAGCCTTCGCCTCTGCACCTGAGGACAGAGCACACGACATGGCACACGTGAGTGACTGAAGTGTCCCCATCCCCACAGACAACAACAGCCCCAAGCTCCCCACCCACGGAGCCAGGAACAGAGCTGGGGTGGTCTTGGCGAGCTTCCGCAGTGCTGAGGACAGTGGTGCATGTCACATGTCAGGAGGGCGCTCTAAGCACAGGTGACCCCCGAGGCAAGCCTGGCACTCATCCAGGCTCCCTCCTCACCACGACCCCAGGATGACCTTCAGGAGCACTGCCAAGAGACTGCCACACAACTCACGAACAGGACCCGAGAACTGGGCGGGGGCCCCACGGCACCAAGGGTCCCCTTCTGCTGAGCCCAGGACCTGGCCTCATGGTCCCCAACTGCTTGGAATGTCTCCGCAGAGGCACTGCCCGAAGCCCAGGGGACTCACGTGAGCCCAGTGTGAGACAAGTGGCCCCACACCTGTCACCAATCTATCAGGTAATAAGAAAACCCACTCTCCACACGTGCCTTCTCCCGGAGCCCTCTGTCCACCCACGCCTGCCCAAGTGGGGACGTGTCCCCAGCCTCACCAGCCAGCACGAGGGCGTGGAGTATAACACACACCTTCTCCTTTGTCCCTGGAACACAGGCCACGGCTGACCCTCCCACTGCCCGCCCTGCTCCCCATCGGTCCCCGTCCCATCCACCCAGCACTGGCCATTCTTAACGTCCTGGTGACTTCACCAGCCCAGGTATGTGGCCTCCGTCCCTCATGAGCCTGTCCTCACCTCCCCGCTAGGGTGGGCACATGTCTGTCCCCCAAGTTCGTGCGTTGAAGCCCTAATCCCAGCACCTCAGAATGTGGCAGTATTGGGAGAGGGTCTTTCACAAGGTCGTTAAGTTGAAATGAGGTCACTGGGGTGGGCCCTGATCCAATACAACTGGTGTCCTTGTGAGAGGAGATGGGACACACACACTCACAGAGGGACGACCACGTGAGGACACAGGGAGGAGACGGCGTCTGCTCGCCGAGGAGTGGCCTCAGCAGGCACCAGCCCTGGGACACCTGATTCTTGGCCTCTGGCCTCCAGGAACGGGGAGTTGTAAACGTCTGCTGTTTGAGCCCCTGGTCTGTGGTACTTGTTCTGGCCGCTCGAGCTGACAACACACCCGCCTTCTCTTGAGTAACACGGAGCACTGTGCTTCCCGCCATCGGCAGGCCCGGGCCCCCCTCCCTGTAAGCAGGCCACATGTGACCCTCGTCTGGCCTGCCCACTCTCCATGAGGAGATGCAGCAACGCAAGTTACCAGGTCAAGGCCCTGTCACCGATCGCCTGGGAGGAAGAGGGCACGCCTGCCACACTCGCTCGCCAAGCACGGACCTGCAGGAGCACTGGGCACATTTCTGTCAGTTAGCCCATGACCAGCCCCACTTCACAGATGAGAACAGGGAGGCTCAGGCGGGGTTGCGGGTCCGGAACGGAGTACGACAGGTGGGCCCGCAGCCGGGGGCCTCCGCGGCTGGCACAGATGGGAGCGAGGCACACTCGGGATGGGAGGGCCGAGTGGCCGTGGCGTGCCCGCGCCCTGGGCGTGAGCCACCACCCTGCGCTGACATCACTAGATCCTGCCCCACGCTGACCAGACCTGACGCCCAGCCCGAGCAAGGGCCACCCCGTGCTGGCAGAAGCTGTCGTGCAGCCCGAGGAGGCTCAGGCAGTGCCAGCTGGCGCATCAGCAGCACGAGACTCCCCGGGGACGGGCTGGAGCGGCCAGCGCGCACGCAGACCGAGCCCGGGGCTGGGGGCGGGCGCCGCCAGGCCTGGGAGCATGAAGACCACGCAGCCTGACTGCTACGTGCCCACGTCAGGGCCGTGGCACGCGGGCACACAGGCGGGAGGGCGTGGGTGGGAGACAGACATGCCGGACGTGGCTGGCAGTGTGTCTGCCTCCAGCCCACTCTAAGACCAGAGCAGACTCCAGGCTGACCCCACTTCCTTGGCCCCAGCGGTCCCCAGAGCTAAGGTGGCTCCAGCCCAGGTCACTACACGGTGCGCATGCCTGACCCATCTTTACTTCTCGCACCTTCTCCTGGAGCTGCAGCAAAGCCACGGCGTCTGAGGAAACAACGCAGAATCTACAAGTCCTGTCAAGCATGTGGTGATCCTGTGCGCCAGCAACTCGGGGAAACCGTGGAGCCCATGGCTCCACGGGAATGTCACCCCTTCTCCAAGACGGAGGTGCTCCGTGCTGGGCCTCCCGGTCACACTTCCAGATGCCCTGCAGCTGACCACTGTCCCCCTCACTCACCCTGACCTCCCAGCCCCCACCAGGAAGTGGCAGCACTCTTGCTCCTTGGTTACTGAGGACGGGGTGGGAGGTGAGAGTGCTCAGCGCAGGGGGTGGGGGTCAGCTGCTCCTCCGCTGGTCAGAGCGACAGACCCCACAGCCAGGCACAGCACCCACCACCAGGCACGGGGGAGCAGCAGCCGGGCGCAGGGCAGGAGGGCATCTGTGCGGCCTGTGTGAGTGTCAAGAGGCCTGGCTGTGGGGGGGACGTGTCCACGCGACCCCACACGGTATCAGATCACGAATGGGTTCATGATGGTGCCCAATACGAGAGGGGGCATCTGTTTGGGGCAGTGGGGGCCAGTGACAGGGCCGGCGCACATCCACCAGGAGAAGGCGGGAGGATGGCCTCAAAGGGGCGCAACGACGAGACGTGCGTGGGCAGTTCTCTCAAGGGCCCGGGAGGGTTCGTCCACGCTGCCCTGCAGCTGTCTATAATTCTGAGTTAACTCCACAGGAAATCGTCTCTGCACGTGGCGATGGCCCAAATCATGACACCCTGCACCTGAGCACGCAGGCAGGACACGTGTGCGATGACCGCTGCCCAGCACCCATCTCCATGGCACGGGGACAAGGACCAAACACGCCGTGCGTGACACAGCAGTGGGTGGGGAAGGCTCCAGCCCACCGGGGTTTCAGGGACTGCTGGTGGCTGGGCTGCAGACTTGAGAACTCGGGGGAGTCCTGGGCCCCAGGGGTCAAGCAGGCACTGCCCCCAACCAGATACAGGCGGCCAGGTGCCTGCCACAAGCACCGCTCACCACAGCGTCCCTACTGGGTGCCCTAGAGCATCTGGAAGGTTCTAGAAGCCCAGACGTCCAAGGACCTGGCATAGGCCCTGCTCTGCCCTAAAGCCACAGCATGGAAGGAGACGGAGATGGGGATCGGGGGGCTGCAGGTGGAGGCCCAGGTAGATGAGCCCCAAGCAGAGGCCGTGCTAGCACAGGCCTCAGGTAGTGAGTGCTGGTCCACACGCCCCGCAGAAACCCGCCTCACACGTGGCCAGGAGCACCCACGGACTTCCCACCTCATCAGCCTCCAGGCCTTGGCAACGGCCCCACCCTCGGGCCCAGCCTGAGGTGCCTCCCCGGCCCCCGTAATCGCAGGTGAGGATCAAAATGGTACCCAGCACCCCAGGGGGACCGACTGGGGCAGACTCAGGCACACGCCGCTTTGACAGGAAAAGCCGGAGGTGAGACGCCATTGTGTGTAGCAAAGTGACGGGCTCTGCAGCTCTGACTGTGCGTATAGACACGGCCTGGGCAGCTCCCTGACCCAGCTGAGCCTCAGTCTTCTCACCCATAAAATGGGAGTGCAACCAGGCACAGCGCGCCGGTGAGGTCCCTAACCCTCTGCTCTCGCATCTCATAAAGGAGCCTCGAGGAACGAAGACCAGTTCAAACAAGCAAACCCGTCTGCCTGCCCTAGCACCATGCCTGTGCCCAGGCGGCCTATCGCCTCCCAGTCCTCGACAGGTCACCACGGCTGTCACCAGTGCAGGACGGTCAGAGGACAGGAAAGGGTTTTGCAGGCGTTGCGTTTCGGGGGGCTATGGTGAACGGGAGGCCACGTGACTGTGCTCTGGTGGGCCTGTGAGGCGCACCAACATGCAGCCGGCTTTCCTGTAAACGACATCAAGAGGCTGTGCGAACGGACCTGGGCACAGGCAGCAGGAGGACGCTGCAGGTTACGGGCCGCCGCAGAAGCAGGCCGCTGTGCCTTGGACCACAAAATGCAACGTCACCGACAAGGCATCGCGGGTACTCACGGTCTCCTCACGGCTTCTTGGTCAATGCAGCCTAAGACACACATCTGGGGAGAGGCAAAGCAGGGCTCGTTTACCTCCCTCTTACAGCAAAATAAGGTCTCGGCGGATGAAATACGGAAATGAAAAATAAAGCCACAGAAGGACTACAAAAAACACAGCCGAGTTACAAAACAAAGAAAACAGATTTCACTACGTACAAATTTAAAACCTCCGCAGGGAAAAAAATAACGCGAACTATCTCAAAAGGTGCTACCGAAGGGGAGCAGATTACAAACAAGGCTTTCCTATATAAGCAGCTCTTCCAAATCAATAAGAAAAGCCTAAGCGGAAGCAAGGAAAAGGGCTCAGGTGGGCATGTGACGGAGAAACGGGCTAATGGAAGCCGGTTCTGAGGAAGAGTACATCACACACACCAGACCCGCTGTCTGCCCCTCATGGCAGCGGTGGCTCTGTACCCCAGTGGGCACGGCCCAGAGGCAGACTCGCGCAGGCTGAGTGGGCAGGAGCGCCCACGGCAGCGCCTGAGAAGGCGAACTGACCCCACCCACTGGCACGTTAAATGTGCGTTCGCTGGACTCAGCAGTTCCATGGCTCCAGTTTCAGACACATTTCCTCGGGTCCACAAAGCTGTGTGGACACGGACGTTCCCCAAAGTGCTGGTCTCGACACCCTGAAAAGGAACGAGGCCACTGTGCGCTGAGCATGGCCGAGACCGTGCGGGGAAGTGAGGCCAGGCACACCCCGTGTGCCAGGACAAGTGGGGTGGGCAAGGCCGCACCGAGGCCCGGCCCTGAGTTTTCACATGCACGTGGGCCCCGTTCCAGCTTACTAATGGTGTGACATCGACACAGAAGGTGCAGTTTTCCCTCGGGGGTGCCCAGCGGGGAGGACAGCCCAGTGCCAGGCAGCT